ACCACCAACACCCCCATCACCACCACCAACACCCCCATCACCACCACCCTCCTCCCCATCACCACCACCATCATCCCCATCACCACCACCATCATCCCCATCACCACCACCAACACCCCCATCACCACCACCCTCCTCCCCATCACCACCACCATCATCCCCATCACCACCACCAACACCCCCATCACCACCACCCTCATCCCCATCACCACCACCATCATCCCCATCACCACCACCAACATCCCCATCACCACCACCAACATCCCCATCACCACCACCAACATCCCCATCACCACCACCAACATCCCCATCACCACCACCATCATCCCCATCACCACCACCAACATCCTCATCACCACCACCATCATCTCCATCACCGCCACCATCATCCCCATCACCACCACCACCATCTCCATCACCACCATATTTAATATTAACTCGCGTCTTTTGTAAGACCATACCATGGAGTCGACAAAACGCTGGATGTCATAGCTTAGAATCACACTACTTACGTTATCGATTAGGTTAGGGTAGGTGGCTTAGATTAAGTTTGGTTTACGGTTAGCTTTGGGTTAGGTTAGGGTAGATGGCTTAGATTAAGTTTGGTTTTCGGTTAGCTTTGGGTTAGGTTAGGGTAGGTGGCTTAGATTAAGTTTGGTTTTCGGTTAGCTTTGGGTTAGGTTAGGGTAGGTGGCTTAGATTAAGTTTGGTTTACGGTTAGCTTTGGGTTAGGTTAGGGTAGGTGGCTTAGATGAAGTTTGGTTTACGGTTAGCTTTGGGTTAGGTTAGGGTAGGTTTATTAGGTTTAAGTCAAATTAGGTTAGATTAGATTAGGATAGGTTTGATTAGACTAGGATAGGTTAGATTAGCATGGCTTAGGTTACTCAAGCTTTAGATTAGGTTAGATTATGTTAGGTCAAGTTAGGTTAGGTTAAATTAGGTTTGGTCAACTTAAGTTAAATTAGGTTATATTAGGTTAGGTTTAAGTAGGATTATGTTGTTTATTAGTTTAGGTTAGGTTAAGCCAGTTGAATTAGGATTGGGCAAATTAAGTTACATGACGATTCTGAACTTACCTAACTTATCATAGTCTTTCAAACCTGACCTAAAGCATTCTAACTAATACCTAACTTAACCTAAGCTGCCTAACTTCACCGAACCAAAGAAAGACACACACAGAAAGAGAGGGAGAGATAAAGAGAAAGAGAGAAAGATAAAAAGAGAGAATGAGAGAGAAGGCATAGAGAAGGAAATTAAGAGAGGGAGAGAGAAGAGAGGGGCGGGAGAGAAGAAGAGAGAGAGAGGACGAGGGAAAGATAAAGGAAGAGACATAGAGAAAGAGAGAGAGACAGAGGGGAGAAGGGGAAGAAAGAGAGAGGGAAGGGGGAGAGGCAGAAAGAGCGAGAGGGGGGGGGGAGAGAAAAAGGGAAAGACCAAGAGAAAGATGTGAAGAAAGAGGAAGAGGGAGATAGAAAGACAGATAGTAATATGGAGACAAAGAAAAAGAAAACGAGAGTATAGGAGAGAGAGAGAGAGAGTGGGGAAGATGAGAGAGAGAGAAAGGGATAGAGAGAGGAGAGAGAGAGAATGAGAGGGGGGAGAGAAGAAGAGAGAGTTAATCCATAAAACGTGAAACGAGAATTAGCGTCGATGCGGCATGTTTCTTTGCCCTGAAGGGAGAAATGGGGTTATCATTAATGACATTATTATATTCACTAATATTATCATTAATATACTTGCTGTATTTTCCAGTTTACTTTACAGTTCTACTTTCTAATGTAATACTAAAATTACTACCTAATCCCCTATTTAACACTGATATTTTACTACATATATAGGAGACACACACACATAGATATACATATACATACATACATATGCGCATATATATATATATATATATATATACATATATGTATGTATGTATATATATATATATACGTAGATATAAGTATGTATGTATGTATATATATATAAGTAGATATAAGTATGTATGTATGTATATATATATATAAGTAGATATAAGTATGTATGTATGTATATATGTAAGTATGTATATATGTATATATATAAAAATGAAAACAAATAAGCAGTAATAATGAATAGATAAATACTTAGATACATATATAAAGTCACAGATATGAAAGTAGTAATAATACTTCTAAGAGTAATGATACTACGAAAATAAAGTTCACATCTATAACAGCAGTAAGTAAAGTGCCGCAAAAAGCAGAGATCATGAGTAGGAAGAATTGTCATTATTCTTACTATTATTATCATATATCTTTACTATGACATTATCATCTATCTTGGTACTATATTTATTATCAGTATCAGTATTATCACTATTACTCGTACCTTTCTTCCTCTATCTCTATTATGTACGTGTGTTTTTGTATGATTCATTTAAGTCTAATTCATTTACTATTAATAAGGAATTTATTTATATCTTTATCCTCTATCTTCTTCACCTCTCTCTTTCGCTGTCTCTCTTCCTCTCTGTCTGTTTGTCTCTCTCCCTCTCCCCTATATGTCTATATCTGTGACTCCCCCTTCCCCCACTCTCTCTTTCTGTCTCTCTGTTTCTCAATCTACCACCCTCTCTTTCTGTCTGTATCTTTATTTCTATCTTCCCTCCTCTCTCTTTCTCTCTGCATCTTTCTCCCTTCCCCTTCGCTGTCTGTCTTATCACCTTTATCATTTTTATCTCTCCTTTCTTCTTTCTCTCTTATTCATCTATCTATTTGTGTTATTAATTCATTTGTCTTATTTATCGTACACTTTATCTTCTGTCTTCATGTCTCTTTTCCTCTCTCTCTCGCTCTCTTGCTGTCATCCGTCTTGTTTGTCTGCCTCCCTCTTTCCCTCTGTACGTCTCTTTTTCTACTTCTCCCCCCCCTCTCTCATTCTCTCTTTATCTCTATTTGTCTCTTATGTTTTCTTTTATGCAGTTTACAGAAAATGTAAAAGAGTAACGGTCTAACTAGTGTATTTTTTGTGGAAATAAATAAATAATAACAATAATAATGAAACAAATAATATGATTATAAAATCTAACAACAGAATTATAATCTATATTCATATGCATATATATGTTTTTTTATATATTTTTACGAAATATATCGAGATATTGATAATTGATTAACCATATTGATATTGATAACCATAAAAGTGGCCATCTTTCTCTCCCATTCCTTTCTTTTTCTTATCTCCCTCCTCCCTATCTTTCTTTTTCTCTTCCTTCCTCTTACTCCCGTCCACAACCGCTGTCACTCTCTCTTTCTGTCTCTCTTCATCCCTCTGAACCCCTCTCCTCTCTTATTCTTTTCCTTCCTCTCTTTCTCTTTCTCTCATATCCTCTCACTCTCTCCCTCTCGCTCCGCCTATTTCCCTTCCTATTTGCCTATATCCCCTCCTTCCCTGTCTCTCTTTCTGTCTATTTCCCTTCTCTGTCAATTTCCCTTCCCTCTCTCCCCATGCCCCATCCCTCCCTCTCTCTGCCTATTTCAGCTTTCTCCATCTCTCTCTCCCTATTTCCCTTCCCTCTCTCTTTGTCTCCCTCTCAGTCTATTTCCCGAACCTCCCTTTCTCTCTTTTTACCTATTTCCCTTTCCTCCCCTCTTTCTCTTTCTATTTCCCCTTGCCTCTCTCCCTCTCTCTGCCTTAGCCTCTTTTCCTTCCCTCCCTCTCTTTTTCTATTTCTGTTTCTCCCCCCCCCCGACTCTATCACTTCTTTCCCACTCTCTCCCTATTTCCCTTCCTTCCTCCCTTTCTCCCTCTGCCTATCTCCCTTCCCTTCCCCTCTTTCCATCTCTATGTTTCTTCCTTCCCTCCCTCTCTTCCTGTTCATTTCCCTTTGCTCTCTCTCTCACTCTGCCTATTTCCCTTCTCTCCCTCCCCCTCTCTCTCTGTCTCATTCCTTTTCTTCATATCTGATTGTGGAATTTAAATTCGTTCATTTCGATGCAGGCGAATGATTTATATCTTATTTACCTGGAAATGAACTGCATATTAAGGATAAGTCTGATATGTGAGCCTGAGCCTCGCCCGGGTTATGTCTATGAAGGGAACCAGGCCTGTGCTTAGTCGTTCAATGAATCAGCTGGTGTTGACTCGACTGAGCTCAGTCCTTACCCACCGTGGTGCCCAGCCACAGGGGTAACCTCCAAACTTCTCGTGGGCGGGGCGCGCACTGGATAATTGCCTATATATATACATATATACATACATATGTGTATATATATACATACACATTTATTTATCTATCTATATATATGTGTGTGTGTATACATACATACATATATGTGTAAATATATATACATATATATGTATATATGTATATATAGATGGCTACATATATATCAATATTTATATATGTAGATATAGATAGATAGAGAGATAGATAAGTAAATATATACTCATTTATCTCTCTATATACATATATAGAGATATATGTATATAGAGATCATTATTATTATCATTATTGTTTTTGTTTCTATGATTGTTATCATTATATTAATTATCTTATCATTGTCCAGTCATAATCATCATTGTTACTAATAGCATTATTACTATCATAATGGAAATATTCATAATTATCATTATCATTGGAATTTTCTTTTGTATTACTGCTGTACTTTTTACTGTCATTACTTCTATTATTAAATATTTTATTACAATTATCTTTATTATTGTGTATCATTATCTTAATGAAATTGTTATCATTAATTATATTACTGTTATTGTTATTACACTTTATTATATATCATTGCGTTAATGAAATTATCATTATTCTATCATTACTATTATCATTGTTATTTATTACAGTGTGTATTTGTAATATTGTCATTATCATTATATTTTTATTGTTATTTATCATTATTAATATCGTGCATGCTTACAGTACTATCTGTTTTGTGAGTATCATTATTAGATTATTAGATTTACAACTATGTTTCCTGAGACTTAGTCTGCTGTGACAGATGAATGAAAAGAGAACGTCTTTCGTATTATTTATTGGTCCAATATTCTCCCAAGGAAAAATTGGAACATGTTATCTAACTGTATATCTGTAATGAAAGGAATCTCAATCCACATGAATATTAACCAAGTTCATCAGCACAGAAATCTCAACTAAAAATACCAGGGAATGAGGAAAGGTTCCTGACATCAGCATCCATATGAAAGAGAAGAATGAAAAATACCAAATGTCGAACTCTAAAGGGAACACTTATAATCAAACACTAGATTATGTAACTAACATCCCTTGACTGAAGCAAAATCGTCTGCCATAATGTCTATCATCCTGAAATACAAATGATTTGATACCTTTGTAAAATTGTAAAATGTATTCTAATCACTAGACAGCAAATCAATTTTCATATTAGCTGCACATGTATGAAGTACATGTAACTGCAGGGTGAGGGTCAGCACTGGCCACCTCCCCTCGGCTACCTCTGGCGTTGGATTCTATAAAGACCGAATCTGAAAGGAAAGAGCCGTTAGTCATTAACATTATATACAATTTTGAAATTAAATATATGCAGAACGTATTTTGAAAATACCTATACTGCATATTTATATGTTAATCACATTTCCATATGCTTAGTATTGAATAAATGGGAGTAGCTGATACTGTGATAATAAAATTTAAATTTACTGTCTCCTTAAAAGATGTAAGATAAGTAAGTTAGTAGGCGGTGCATTTCAGATAAACTATTGACTAACTGACGTAGACTAACTGAACTTATCTATGTGATTAATAAATGGATACAGACTGCCTACCCTATGTACTATTTCATACTAGTTAATGAAATAACTAAAGTGTCTCCAGGGAAAGTAGTTATGATAGGTTAGCAATCTGACAATTTAAGCTGTTGAAATACATTTTCAGATACAGGAAGAATACATAAACATTTGAAGATTTTTTTTTTTCAGAAAGGAGATAATACAAATGACAGTTTATTGGAACTGAAGAAAAAGTAACTGATAATGCAACAGGAGACGCTGGCCACACACTCCTCAGCCCACCAGAAAGCCACCCGGCAGGGCTTCCATCTTCAAGGTAATTTAGTTCAACATTACTTGGATTTAGTTATGGTAATTTGAAGGCACAAGGATGCAAGGATTGTTATGAGCATTTCAAGCGAATACAATTAAAGAAAGGAAGGACATAATTTAGAAACCTGAGCCCAGACTGACCAATAACACATTTTCGTGACACTGGATGAGGGTATGAAGGTGGGTGCATGTTGGAAAAAGGGTAAGGCGTGTTCTTACTATATGGATAACCCGGGGTACAGGGTTATGGCCAGTGAATTCATGTATTTTCTTGCTTAATTCAGCAATGTCACGTGGGACTTTAAGCAATACCGTGTGGCAAGAGGAACAAAAGTAACAGATGCAGGATTATCTGACAAGAATGCAATTTTGCCATGAAATATGAGAGAATATATGAACATCGTAGGATATGGCTGTACATAGAGTTTTCACAAGTGTTTTTTTCTTGAATATGAGGGTCTTTTCACATTTCAAAATGTCAGAATTTGCATTGAATTTACTAATCATCCAACAGAAGGCAAATTAAGCCAAATATCCAAATGGACCCAAATAAATCAATAACCAATAAATGAACAAAACTGGAAAATAAAAAGAGTACATAGGAAAAGGTGTAATGAGGCTATGCATAAGATTTCGAGACACAGACACACACAGAAATATACAAATGCATATGCTGAAGCACGGTCACATACATTATAAATGTAGAGAGATATATAGATATAACAGAGAGACATAGATGTAACAGACAATATTACACAAAGAGCAAGAAAAACACTCCAAGAAACACACACACACACACACACAAACATATATATATATATATATATGTGTGTGTGTGTGTGTATGTATGTATATATATGCATATATATATGTATATATATTAATATTTATTTGTATATATTTATATATACAAATATTATGTATACTTATATATGTGTATATGTATGTGCTGCATGTATATATAGATAAGACCTATATATGTATATATATATATGTATATATATGCATATTTATATAAGCATATACATAAAAGTTTTTATATATATATTCACACACATATGCATAAACATACAGAGTATTAATTATATTTATCTCTATATATAAATGCACACACACACACACACACACACACGCAGACACACATGCACACACACACACACACATATATATGTATATACATATATATATACATATATGTGTGTGTACACAAAAGTATTTTGTGTACAATATATCTATCTATCTATTTAATTGTCTATCTGTCTATCTTTGTATAAATTTGTGGGAATGTGTATGCACTTCTGTGTGTCTGTGTAATTGTGAGTGTGTATGTGGGTGTGTATTTGTGTATGTGTCTTGTCATGTATGTCTGTATGTATGTATGCAAAATGTGTATATATGTATAGATAATTCAGTGAAAATGTACTTATAACTACATATATATATAAACAAATATACACATAAAAATACAAACACATATTCCTACAGGATACATATATGTATACATATAGGAGCGTGTGTTTCTGTGTATGTATATATAAATGATTATATATATATATAGACAAATTTGTGTTTATACTTATGTATAAGTATATATATGTATATATATATATACATATATATATATATATATATATATGTGTGTGTGAGTGTATATGTGTGTGTGTGCGTGTGTGTGTGTATGTGTGGATATATATATACTGAAATATCTATCTATCTATATATTCATATGCGCATGCACAAACATTTCAAACACATACATTATCTATATTAATTAATCTCCCCATATATATATACATAATATACGTAGTGTATAACCATGAACATATAACCATGTGACTTTTGCTGGTTTTAGAAACTACAACTGCACTTGATATAGGCCTATTGTAAAAATGTAACCGCATATGTAGATTTTTGAGTGTAGGGTACATAAGACAATTTAATGAACAGAACTCTCAATCCAGATTCAGGAGGAAACTTTGGCAATGTAATATGGTCTATGATTCAAAATCAAACAGGAGATCTCGAGAAAACAGAGACAGCGAAGAAGACCCATATCCCAAACATCCTCAGAGAAACAAAATCTGCAGGAATCTGAAGGCACGCCGATGTACGGGCAAGCAAGTCATAACACAGTACTCATCAACTGAACTGGTGAATCTGAAACCTAAAATTTCAATAACCCAAAAAGACTAACAAATTTACTAATCAGACTTCCACATATTTGAGGATATCCCTGAGAGTATTAGAGACAGGAAAGGCTGTATAGTTTGAAGTTGATGATATCTCAAAATTGAATATTAAAAATTCATAATTAAAAACCTGGGAGCCTGGGAGATTCCAAACAACTGGCCTCTAGGAAAATTATGTTCATATGGCACTGTATTTCTTGTGGAAATAGACTTAACCCAAAGAAGACCAAAAATAAAGTAAAAATGATAAGTGGAAACAACACAAATAGTGACAATACCAAGAAAAAAAATGACAGTCAAATTATATGGGTTCCAACAGTCCCTAGAAATAACATTCAAAGGCCAATTCCCAAAATATGTAGAAGACATACATCTTTACCCAATCTATCAATATAATTTCCCCATTTCCAAATATTTCAGGTGTCTGAGGTATGGGCACGGGATCATGACTTCAATAATAATAGAAAATGCAGTAAATGCGGCCAATTTAATCATAATTACAAATATATCCCAAATAAGGAATACTGCTTTTATTGTCATGATCACAAATTCATGCAAAATTGATGCCCAAAACATATATACAAAAAATGAATAAAGATGAATAGACTTCTCATGGGTGAAAACAATAAAGAATATAGTGATGGTGATATCAAATGCAATAATCAACATGAACACTGAAAGAAATTATAGAAATTTTAACAAACTATGCATTATGGAACTCCAACCATAAAAGATGATGAAATACTTAGAGAAAACCATGCTCTGGAATACTAGGTCAGTTACGAACAAAAAAGGAAGTATAGTAAAAATGATAAATAAGAAAAATAATAATAGTAATAATAATAATCATAATAATAATAATAACAATAATAATAATAATGATAATAATAATAATAATAGATAATAAATAATATATGATAATACTAAATAGTAATATATATAATATCTAATAATATATTAATGTAATAATAATAGTAAATACATAATAATATTTCAATATAATAATGATAAATAAATACTTTAATATAATAATAATAAATAAATAATAATATGTATAATAATAATAGATAATGATAATAATATTAGATAATAATAATGATAATAATAGATAATAATAACAATGATAAATAACATTTAGAACATTTGATACATAGACAATATATGGACATATATACAATAAGAATATTTGAATAGTAATAGAATATAGAATAATAATAAATATTGAATAGAATAATATTGGAATAATAGAATAACAGAATAATAGAATATAGACAATAATAGAATATTATATGCACAGACAAGAACCAGAAGAGATAGGATTATGGAAGATGGCTAAAGGAATAGATAACCTTAATTTTTAAAACTATGACATTATTAGGAAGGGCAGAAGAGAACAAATTGGAGAGGTTTAGCCTTTTGCATAGAAAAGGACAGTACATGTGTTGGAGCCCAAATTCAAACTCTTAATATCCAAATATTACAGGAGCAAAAAACCTTTTTGAACTCATTAGTCAATATGATATAATTTTAATGATGCCTCCAGGCCATACTACTCATAAAAAACAATAAAAATGCAACCTAAAGTAAAGAAATGGAACTTCATGGAGGAAATATAAAAAAGAACATGAAAGTAAATATATTGAAAGCATAAAATCTTTCAGAAAATTGACCAACTGGTAAAACTTTTCTGTGCCTCACTAGACTTTAAAATACCTACAAGAAATGTATTGAACTTTAGAAAAAGCTTTACCATTAAAAAAAAGAAAGAAAATCCCTAAAAATAAAACTATTAAAACTCCCAGACATTAGAGAACTTGTAGTAATAATAAAAAAATAAAAACAGCCATAAGTGCAAATAAGTATAAGCATATGGGTCGGATGAAATAACATATTTTGCAAATAGGCTCAAAGGAAACTATTGCAAAATTTACAAAGAATCATAAATTATTACTGGTCCAAAGGACAACAACCACATGAAAAAAAAGTTCTAGTCAATCCAATATTAGAATAAAATCAAGTAAACCTACTGATTTATAAGCAGAACATCTTTGCACAGAATTGATAAACAGTAAAAGTGTTTGAAGGCTTGAAATACAGCCAATAGGTCTCAGACTTAATAAGACCACAATTCATGCACTGGGAATAATAGATTTGCAAATTAATAAAGCTAGAAGAGGGAAAAAAATATGCATTAACTGCATGTATTGATTTTGAGAAAAAGCTTCTGCAAAAATCGAAGCAATATTAATCAAAGCTGCACATTGGGAATTACAGGTTCATCATAAACTTAATGAATAACTTTCTAAGTGGCAGAACTTTTCAAACTGCATTAGAGAACAGCTAAACAGAAAAAGAAAATAACATAAGAGCGGACCACAAAGATCTCCACTAAGCCAACCCTCGTTCACAACTAATGTCATATTTTGACATAAAACATCAGGCAAAGATATAGAAAATGCAATCAATAAATAACAGTATACTAGGGACTGATATTTGATGCACCAAAGGTGACCTTAAAAAAAAAAAAAAAAAAAAAAAAAAAACATTGAGAATTGAAAAAAACAAAACAAATAAAGCTAAGTAGAGTAAACGTAATGAAAAAAGTTAAGTCACAAACAGAGAAACAATAATAAAATTGCCATCTCATAGGGTAAGTAATAATCCTGAAAAAAAAAAAAAATACAAACACTACAAAATGAAGCAATGAAGAAAGCCACAGGATGTTCCCAGCCAACACTAGTCATCATACTACAAGCATTAACAGACAGCCTCAATAAATGAATAAATAAAAAGGAACAGAACGCAAAAAAAGATATAAGAAAAACAAAATCATATGTCAATAAAACAACTGACAGCTAAAGAAATATTGGAATATGCTCTCAACAAAAGTAGAAAATCAGAAGAAAAGAATTCAGGGGATATAGAGATTAAAGTTTAAAGTCCTATTAAGAAAGAAGAAATAGGCCTACATTTAATAAACTAATGGCCATTTTAGTTTCATACTTGTTAATTCCCGTATTTACATTCTTACATTCATTCTTTCTTTTCACATAAATTAAGGTGATTTTTAGCAGTAAACTTTCACCGAGAGAAAAAGCATGAATAATTATCTTTACATCAATGAATAACGCAATTCCATTTTTTTCTGAGGTAAAAAAGTGAAGAAAAAAGGGATTTCACGCAAGTGCTTCCCTGAAGTGCAAAGACCCGCAGATGAGTCCGCCCACAACCCCACACGAGGCACCAGACTCACTTCACTGGTTTCATGTGAATAGCGAAGAGGAAACTAACCTCCAGATTATGTCATCCTCACACCTGTTGTGGAAAAAAATCAGTAAGAAGTTGGCATTGGCTGCTTTCGCCTCGACAGATCACATAGGATAGCAAAGGATCAGAGAAAAATGAGTGACTGATAATGAAATCTTGGAAAGTAAACGAAATGATGAACACTTAGTTATGAAAATCATTAACTACTTTGATTATCTATGACTGGAGTTGTCTACAGAACTTCTCAATAAACATCACTAAAAAACCTTGGTAACATTTGTTTTTATTGTCTCCTGCCTTTTCTCTTTTCTGTCTCTCTAAACAATTTCTTAAAAATCAGAATTCCTGTAAGCTCTAATTTCTTTAATTATCTGTCACTGGACTTGACTGAAGAACTTTACTTATCAAAAAAATAAATAAATAAATAAAAAATAAAAAGTACCTCTTTATTTATTTATATTGCTGCATCTATTATTTCTTTAAACCTATTAACACCTTTTCTCACTTTCTATGTCTATCTGTCCTTTCCTTCTCTCTGCCTCTCTTTCTCCCTCAACTCTCCAAAACTGGAGAGCGAGAGAAACAAAGACAGAGAGAGAGAGAAAGACAAATAAATAGAGAGAAAAAGAGAAAAAAAAAGAAAAAAGCCAGATCACTCACGTCCAAAAGCCACAGCCCAACCCCCTTCCCACGAGGCCTTTCAGCCGCCCTGCTTTTCCTACGTCGATTTCGGGAGACGCAACCACTCCTCCCCCGACTCGGACTCCCTCGCGGCCGAGCTGCTCAACGAGGCGAGCGAGAGCCTCTTCCTCCTCGGACGCCCCAGGGAAGAGCAGCTCGAAGTACCTGGAAGGAAAAGCGAGCGATGAGAAAGAGAGAGAGAGAGCCTCCTCCTCCTCGGACGCACTAGGGAAGAGGAGCCAAGTGTACCTAGAGGGAAAAGCGAGCGACGAGGAGAGAGAGAAGGGGGGAAGGGGGGAGGGGAGAGAGAGAGCTTCCTCCTCCTCGGACGTGCCAGCCAGGGAAGAGGAGCTCGAAGTACCTGGAGGGAAAAGCGAGTGATGAGAAGAGAGAAGAGTGAGTGAGTTTGACTCTCCAAAGTGCTGAACTGCAGCTGACGCCACATATAAAAATATCAGTAAAAGACCAAACCAAGGCTTTTATTTTACTCATATCCTTCTAAAGCACACTCATTATTAGTACAATAATGTACATCAAATACTCTCAATGGACATTTGGCTGCATTGTTTACCCTTTCCATTTGCACTCATCAATTAATTTCATATTCATAAAACCTTCAAATGTATTCATACGTGGCTTCTCTCACGGGAAATAACCTACTTTGCTGGAGTAACACACAGAATAACCATAATTGGAGAGAGGAACATATTTACGATAAAAATAATAATGTGATGACCTTTGCTAGAGCGCCGCCGTCTGTTGCGATTCATAAATAGGCCTGTCTCTAAATTAGTGAATATATATTTATTTTTTTTCTTTCTTTCTTTTTTCAGATAATTATGTATTGTAAAGGAACAACGCATATAAAGGCACGGTTACATAAAAGGTTGTTAGGAATCAGAGTCAAACCATGCAGTTCAGAGCTTGAAAACGGATATAAACATTTTTTATTATGATCGTATTTTTCTTTCATAAGGATTGACAGAATACATAAATGTACATTTTTCTTTCATGAGGCTTGACCAAATACTATCAACAACCTGGTTTAGATTATGATACAATTACTTATGATTATTTATTAAATTATAATGAAAGTTCTTTGTGTTCTCTTAGAATTTCTTTACAAACGATAGATTTCTTTATATGTAATTTAGCTAAATGCAGATTAGTTGTATGATTTGCCTTTCAGCAAAATAAAGAAATATAATGATAATGATAATAACTAGGAAGACACAAATGGATTTAATAAATTCACAAGTAACCCAGATACCAGTAAGATATTTTTACTTCATCCACCAAATATTCTTATCCTAACATTTATAGTAATCTTATAGTAGAATGTTGATATTTGTTATTTCATATTATGTGCTGCTTATGGTTAATGTAATATAAAATGGTCAAATTTAGGGAAACTATATATAAACCACTTACGTCTCGCATCACTTTTATTCTATTGTTTAATCTGTTATTATGTCTTATATGCATACATACACTTTTATATGTATATATATAAGCGTGCCTGCACGCGTGCATGTGCCTGTGCAATAACATGTATAGGCCTATAATCCCCACCAGGCAAACAGTATGAGACCTCATATGACTTAAGACTCTACTATATATATTTAGAGTCAGAGTTGAAACCAATTTCGGCAGCTGAGAATATTTTGAGACAGACAGTGGAACTTCAGACATTCTGCCTGTCTGAAAGCTTCCTTTTTAATAATATAGATTTTGCTTTTTGCATTTTTTCTCTCTTTATAATATAAACTTATCACTTTCATTTTACAATAACATCCTTTTGCTTCTAATGGTCACTCCTATTTAACTTAACTAATATATGTGTTCATATATAGTGTGAGTCTATGCCTGTCTCATTATTACCATTATTATATATACACGAACATTTAAATATATATACATATATAAATATATAGATATATATATACACAAACACGTGTGTGTGCTTATGTATGTGTGCGTGTACCACACATATTTCTAATATTATTAATCATTATCATCAATCCGATTGAGAACGTGAACGGTCATTGCTCAAATCCTGAAGCTAACCTCACAATTATTATCTCTTTCTCTCTCTCCTAGCAACTACACCATCCTTCCTCCTCTGCCCACACGGCCTCCGATCTCGCCACGAGCGACCCAGACTCCCTTACCCTCCTGAGGGCTGCAGCGCCGCGACGACCCGACTCGCCCCCTCGAACGTCGCTTCCTCGACGCCGCTCACCCACAAGCGAGGAAATTCCACGCCGGGCGGAGGACGAAGCGACGCTGCGTCCAGCCACGCAGCCACGTGCAAGCCTGCAATGCGAGTTAGGTGGGGCATATATATATATATGTAAATACATATATGTATACATAAACATAAACATATGCATATATATACAAACACCCTCACATAGTCACACAGACACACACCGACACACAAAAACACATATATATATATATGTATGTATAAACACACAAACACACATATATACATATACATAGGCTTACATACACACATACATTCATTGTTTTCATTATTTTCATATGTATATATATACATATATGCATGTGTAGGTTTGTGTTTGTGTATGTGTGTTGATGTGTCCATCTGTGTGTGTTTATTCATTCATATATAGTTGTTAGTGTATTCAAATGAATAGATAAACATATGTATATATATATACATATATGTATATATATATATATATATATTCATATGTATATATATGTATATATATATATATATGTATGTATGTATACAATATATAATATATATACACACATTTGAATATATATATATATATATATATATATATATATATATGCATGTGTGTGTACATATATATCTACATATATACATACACACATATACGTATATGTATATACACAAACACATGCACTGGTACACACACATATACATACATGTATATATATATATATATATATATATATATATATATTTATATACACATATGTGTGTTTGTGTGTATATATATATATGTATACACACAAACACACGTATATATATATATGTGTGTGTGTGTGTGTGTGTGTGTTATGTTCAGCCAGTGACAGATGTGTGGAGCACCACCTTCCGGATGTTGTTTATAGTGTGTCTGCGTGTGTGTGTGTCTGTGTGTGTACACACATGTGTGTTTGTGTGTGTGTGTGCGTGTGTGCATAAATATATATGTGTATATAGATGTATACATACATATATAAACATAAATATATATACACATATTTATATGCGTGTGTATGTATGTATATATGTGTGTATATATATATATTTATACATATATATATATGCTTTATATATAAATTTGTTTATTTATATATATATACATCGGCGTAGTGGCATTTAAAATTTAAGGGGGGCTGCAAATTTCCTGCCCGAGTGAAAGAGGAGGAGAAATTTCACCTGCCAGAAAATTTGTGATAAATGCCACCAGTGGAAGAATAGATAGAGTGGGTCGGGGGGGGGGGGGGCAAAAACCCACCTGTAAGGCTAAACTGCCATTTTGTCGGAAAATATCTGCTCTTGTCGGAAAACTAATGATGGTTTTCTGTTTCGTTTAGTTCTAGTGGCCTTATGTTATGTTCAAAATAATAAAAAATGAGAATTAGTGTCAAATTTTTGTCGGGATATCTTCATTTCTCGCCCCCTCTATGAATTTTCCTATCTACGCCCCTGACTAAGAAAAGTTTTCTTTTTTTTAAATCCCCTTCTTAACCCATTCGCGCCGGGTAAAAATGAACAAAAAATGGGGGAAAATGCTGTGCTCATTTTTTAATGAAATTTCTCTACACTAGATGGCACTGCCTTACCTGATTTCATTTGGCTGGAAAATGTATTTTTTACTAGTACTACGAATATCGATGGTTATTTTTATTATAAACATTATAATTACTATAATGTTATGATCATTAGTAACAGCAAAATAAGATAAGACGTATAATATTTTCGTAAATTAAAGAAAAAGGTAAACAGACGAGACAGGCAGTACAAGTACAAGTGCAGCCATCTATGAGTGGAAACAATTAAACAAGTAAACTCACAGTGGGCCCGTCACATATACGTGACACCCGGCGTGAATGGGTTAAAGTATCTATGTTACATTAATATAACTTTTTACCATTATCTTTTTCGCAAAATGGATATTTTCCAATTTCTATGCCCATTGCCCAAAATTGCCTGAATTCAACCAGCATTTACCCGACTGGGGGGGCTGCAGCCCCCCCAGCCCCCCTGGCTCCTACGCCTATGTATATATATATACACATATATATATATACATACACAGGAATATATATACACATATACATATGTATATCCATATGTATAAATCAGTACATACATTTGTAAATGTATATATTATATATATATATTGATACGGATATATATACATATATATGTATATGTACATACACACACACAGAAATATATATATATATATATTTACACACACACACATGCGAATGGGTTAGATATATACATTTATATATATATATATACATATATATATGTGTGTGTGTGTATCCATTCATATTCATCTTAATTTTGTATTAATGATTGAATAGAAATATATACGTATATATGAAAACAAGCATTCACATCCATATAAATCTTGTGTACTCAGTTACATGCTTTCATATCTATAAAAGGGGATTAAGAAAAAAGAAGCTAAAAAAAAGGAAGAAAGAGGATGCGTGAGAGAGAGAGGGAATATAAGAAAAAAGCTGGAAATGAGCAAAACCGCCTCCACTATATGAGGACAACCAGCTACTCACCAAGCAATTTAAGCCGTGGCAGCCGCCCTGGGAACGATGACAGGGCGGGAAGAAGTTCCCGGTAGTGGTCGTCGTCCTTGACGGCCAAACATAGATGCTTGAGACTCGAGGGCAGCGCCGCCAAGGCCGATCCGCTCAGCTGCCCTCTGAACCTCGTGACTTGGAGGCGTCCGCTGTGGGAGACACAACCGCTGCATTGAACTCTGGATGCAAGTGAGCCGCTTGCAATGCGTCAGCCACGGTTCATGGGAAATGAGAATGGCATTTGTATAATCTTGCTCTTAGGTAATGAGATGATAAGCGAGAAACGGTGAATACTTTGACTGTCCGTTGAAATATAACATACCTTACAGTTTTTAATATTCCCAGTAAGGTAACATGGGGATAGTAAGTGGCCAAATATCAAGCGAATATATATATATATATATAACGTCTATATCTTTATCCACATTTGCTTATTAATTTATCAGTGTTATCTACCGATATTCATATTTATTTTTTATTTGTATCTATTAATCAATCTTATCGATATTTATTTATATCTTTCTATGATTATATCTATGTCTTTCTATAACTCTTTCTACACCTATAGCCATATCTATCTATAAAAACATATGTTTATATATAGGTATTTGTCTATCTATCTCCATATCTTTATATGTGTTTATTTATCTATCTACTTATCTATCTTTAGCCTTCACTCTCACTCACTTGTTAGTAGCGGTTAATGCCGAAATAAGCGATTTTGAATACTAGCGAAAATTAATTATATTCCTTTTAATAAGGAAGGCCGAGTGCACGTTACCAACCATTACAGAAAATAGGATTATTTTACATTTGGCAACATACGTGAATATTTATGAATAAATGAATATTTACCTGGAACCTTTCCCTACAATATATTTCATCACATATCTTGCTGTCTTTAACATCACTATTACCTTCATTACTTTATCGTCATTATCCCCGTCATCATAATTAACACCTTCATAGATATCCTTACTAACATGGCCGTCACAGTCAGCATAATTACAAATGTAATTCTCTTTATCACTGTAATAATCTTTAGTATTACAATACTTTTACATTACAAACCGTATTTCACAGTTTATCACACCATCATAGTTCTTATATTAATCATCATAATTACCAATAATTGCCATTATTGGAAACATTTTCGTGTCATAATTTTCGTCATCGTGAATGTCATCATTAACATCTTTCTCTTTATTGTTACTGCCAATATTATAATCGTTATATTATTATCATTAATAATTACTATTATTGATATTATTAGTCTTGTCAATATTATTATTATCATCGTCATTGTTATTATCATCATGATCGTTATTGTTATTATTATCATGATCGTTATCGTTATTATTATCATGATCGTTATTGTTATTATTGTCATGATCGTTATTGTTATTATTAAATTATAATCATTAATATTTCACACACACCATAAGTAATCATACCCTCATCTATACTCTTAAGGTGATCATAATCATCATCATCATCTTCATGATTACAATCAACACCATTATCATTATGATTATTCGTATCATCAGTTCTATCATCATTATCATTGTGATTATTCGCATCATCAGTTGTCATCATTATCATCAAATCACTATTATCCTAATGATAATTAGTATATGATTAACATGCTAATTATTTTCACGATCATCAAATTTAACATCATCTCTGTTTTCAATCTTTGTTTTTCTGTCCCTTGTTCCTTCTCCTCTCCCCCTGTCCCTCCCCCTCTCCCCCTTCCCTTGCCCCTTCCCCTCTCCCCCTTTCCCTTGCCCCTTGCCCTCTTCCTTTGCCCCTTGCCCTCTTCCCCTATCCTTTGCCCCTTGCACTCTCCACGCTGCCCATTGCCCCTCCCCCTCTCCTCCTGTCTCTTGCTCCTTCCCTTCTCCCCCTCTCCCCCTTCCCTTGCCCCTTCCCCTCTCCCAGTATCCCTTGCTCCTTGCGCTCCCCTCCTATCCCTTGCCCTCTCCCCCTTCCCTTGCCCCTTTCCCTCTTCCCCGTCGCTTGCCCTTCCTCTCTCCTTCTACCCATTCTTCTATCTTCTTTCACCCTTGCCCTTTCCACTCTTCCCCTGTCCCTTGCCCCTTGCTCTTTCCCCTGCCCTTCCCTCCCCCTTATCCATTCCCCTATCCTCTTTCCCTCTTGCCCCTTCAATTCTCCCCTTTCCCCTTGCTTTCCCCCCCACATGCCTCTTTCTCTTTCTCCCTTGCCTCTTCCCCTTCCCTTCTCCAGGCCTCTTCCATTCCTCTGCTTCTAAACCTTCACCCCATGCTCCTTCCCCTCCCCTCTTTCTCCCTTGCTCTCTCCCCTTCCTCACTCCACCTGCCCCTTGCCTTATCTTTTCCCTCTTCCCCATGCCACTTCCTCTTCTCATCTCCCCCTTGCTGTCTGCCCTTTATCCCTGTTTCTCCCCTCACTTCTTTCTTCCTTGCCTCTCCTCCCTGCCTTGTACCCATTCCCACCATGCCCCTTTTCCTTCCCCTTCCCCACTACCTCCTGTCCCTTCCCCTCTGCCCCCTGCCCAGACTTGCCACTGATTCGTCAGTCAGTGAGGATAAGCATTCATACGATAAATTCTGTTTTCTTTCAGTATTCAGTGGTGGAGCTAAACACATTGTTAATAGCACAATAATATACAATAGGTTATTGATGATCTTTCAGTATTTAGTGACTGTATTCACTAAATGTGTGTGTATATATATATATTAAAAAGTCACTGTTTTATAATTTATTCTTTGATATTTGTCCGAAAACCCTTCTCCCCTTCACCCTTCCCCTCTCTGAGTCTTCAGTCAGTACCGAGTTCGAAGTCCTTAATACACGGAATCCGGAGTCCTTAAGAGAGAGAAAAAGTCCTCACAGCACGAAATCTTGGGATCCTTCCACCCTCCCTCCCCTCGAAAATTGCATTTAGGTCCTTGCACCTGCACTGTTGCACCCATTGCTCCAACGCTGTAACAGCCATCCCATTGCAACCTATAGGCACTCGAAAGAGGAGCCTGTCCTACATTTTCATTCCCAGCATGACCCCCTTGAAAGCACGAAGCGCAAGCAAATTACAAGCAAAGAGGTTTGATGAGCTCAGAATTACCTATTGCTTGTTCCGTATTTGTCCTTTGTTGCTCGCAAGAGGCTAACGAAAAGACAAAGGTGAGGCAGAGAAAAAGAGAGAAATAGATAGATATAGAGTGAAAGCGGGAGAGAAAGAGAGAGAAAAGGTATGCTCGAGTATAGGTATGGATACGATAATGGAAAGTACAACTGATTTTTTTCTCTTTACAAAAATGTTACTTATTCCATATTCTTGTATAATGCAGCAATAAAGTTCAATTAAGTCTAAAAAGTAAAGAAAGCAACACATCACCTTCGGAAAACTTGCTGAAGAGTATCATCGAGGACGCTCCCGCCGGCTCTCGGGTGGCGGAAGTCGTGGCGAAGCATTAGCTCCACCTTCCACGTCGTGTCTGTCATCCCCACGAGGATATCCCGCAGGCACGGGATGTCCCCGGGATTACCGCTGATGTTCAGGATCAAGCATGATGGGCGTGCGTGGCTCAGAACATGCATGAATGCAGCTAAATGGCCGTCGGATATTTCTATGCGTCCCGTGAGATCTATCGCTCTGACAAGCAATTTCCTCATCGTGCCGTCGCACTTGACCTCGGACAGCAAGTCCAGCCACTGAGATGCATCACGTATACCAGTGGCCTTGAGTAATTCCACAAGCTCCTTTGATCTTTTCTCTGCCAGTGGCTTTCCTCTGAGGTGAAGCAAACCCGTGAGATGGATGAAAATGTTCTGGTATTTATCCAAGTCTAATTTTGTTTTTTTGCCAATGTATATGGCAGCTTCCTTGGTGGCTCCTTCTAAAACACTCTGGATATTAGGCAATTGCCTGGCTGCTTCACGTTGGCATTTCAATAAAACCAAATTAAACTGATAAAGAAGGGAGCTGCTAATGTTTTGAGGAACTTCTTGATAATTCAGAACGTTCTCAAATCCATCTATTATTTCAGTTATTTTTAGTCCTAGTTCATCTGCCGTGATGATCTCCATCACATGCATAGCCGAATAAAAATCTTGAACGGCTTTATGGGGAAAACTATACTTCACATCATCACCAGTCAGAGAAGTTGCTTGGATCAGGAAGGCTCCAAGAACCTCATTTGCTGGAAGCTTTGGAAGGCGACATGCCTCCTTCAGCCTTTGTACTGAAGGCTTGGACAGAACTACAGCATCCCCACAGTGGTTAATGAAGGCCTCTTTGCAGAGCTTCTTCATTACCTTCATAACTTTATCTTTCAGTTCAGCACCTTCGACAGTCCTAGTTTCTTCATGGTCAGACAGCCTTTGAAGTAATCTTTTTATGCACATCTCATGTGTCTTTGTGAAGAGTTCTGTCGCCGTGGTCAGACTGTTCACTGCATGTGGGTCAAGGAACCATAATATTGTCACGAGGACCAAGTTGAAGGGGAACCGCCAGTGGGCTTGCATCCGGCTGTCTTTCCTTGCCAGATACTGGAGGAGACCAGAGACATCTCTGTTCATGGGGCCTGGTTCTTGTAAAGCCTGAATATAATTTTTGACAAACTCTTCACGTTTGTTCTCTTCTATGCCCAAAACCTTGATATACATAATGTCATAGTTCTCTGGCACATATTTGTTGAAGTCAGGGACTTTGTTGGGTCTTGTTGTGCAGAGAACAGTTATGTCGTCGGTTCTGCCCATCCCCATGATTTCTCTCAGCACTCTATCTGTTGATGGATGAAGTTCATCGAGCCCATCCACAATGAACATGAGTCTATTTTGCTGAATGCACTCAATCAGACCATGTTCGCCTTGGACTTTAATTTTAGATTTGGGCATCAAAGAGCCAAGGAGGTGGCCAAGGGAATTTATTTCGTCTCGGCACCTACTTAAGTATACAAAATCATAATCAGTGAGAGTCTCCATGGAACTAGTGCCTGAGGCCCAGTCACTTATCATCTTTCTTGTGAGGGTTGTCTTGCCAACACCCGCAGGCCCTTCGATGAGCAACACGGAACAGTCTTTCCCTTTCTGCTCCCGTCTCTCCTCTGCTTTTGCAAGAAGTTCACTATATTGCACGAGCTCATGTGTTTGTGAGCCTTCGTGCTTGATTTCCATTGTGGTGAAGACCTTGTCCACACGCACCTTCGATTTCCCAAGCAAATTCGAAGCTGGTCCAAAACTGGACTCCTTTCTGTAAATCTTCTTCAGCTCCCGTTTCCCTTCGACTTTCACCTGCTGGCGCAGTCTGTCGAGAACTATTCCATGACAAACTGATGTCTGTGAGGGATTGTCTCTGAGACTGTTGATCTCTTTGTTTAGATCTTCCAATTTACCTTGGATGATATCATCATCTATGTTGTAGATTTCGGCTGCTTTCTTGAGGGCCTTATTGAGCAGATCTCTCAGCTCCTCTATCACCCTAAAAAAAGATTGATCATCCACAACATACTCTTCATGGAGGAAGTCATTCCTACGATTCTTGATGGATGTCACACACCACTCTAGTGTGTCTCCTGACATCGTCCACTGAGCATCTCCCGGAGGTGCCAATCCATCACAGCCGAATATGATGCAGATATATAAAAGTGAGACATCAAATGTCGTGATATCACCACCCTTTTCCATCTTTTTCCTTTGACTCTGATTAAACTTCTTGCGTATTGTTGCCATAGTGATCATCTTCACCTGTATGAGGTACTCGTAAAAGGTCTTGCCAGCCTGCCTCCTGGGAGTGCCTTTCTCTAGCACGAACGAGAGCACCTTCTTGCTCGTCTGAGTGGTCATCTCGTACAAGGCGGGGGTCAGCTTGGACAGAGACGGAGCCATTTCGGAGGTGGACGCTGACTGAGCGGCTGCAAGAAAACATAAGAGTGGGTGTTAGTCTTTCAGTTCAATTGCGGTTTCATTAAAATATCCACATGGCCAATGCTGAACAAAAAAAGACCGTCCTATCGGCACAAACAAGCAGACTGAGGGTCGTTCAGATCTATTCAAACTAGATTCTGGTAGGCGTGGAACTCCATCCTCGCCACCAATACACCAGCTAGGCTAAGCCTTATCCCTAGGTCTCGGTCATTTCAGCCATCAGAAAGGAGAAAAAGCTCTTGAATTGTTGGAGAAATTGTTTTTCTCCAAACAGGTTAAGCCATTATTTATCGTAAGAGGACACGCTATCCATAGTCTTGAGGACGACTCATGAAATTAATGGAATCATTTAGATAAGAGCACAGAATTCCGTCAAAGAGAGATAAAGAGATGGATAGATAGAGGCAGGCAGACATATGTATATATAGAGAGAGGCAAAATGAGAGAGCGGCGGGGGAGAAAATGAGAGATATGTGTGTATATAAAGAAAGTAAGGAAAGGAGGGAGATGAAGAGAGAGAGACAGACAGACATAGGGAGAGAGAAAAGCTGTGTTTGTGTGTTAGAGAGAGAGAAATAGAGAGGAAAAAGGGAGGGGGGAAAAAGAAAAAGAGATACATGGATAGATAGATAAATAGAGAGAGGCAATAGGAGAGAAAGAGAGAGAGGGAGAATAAATATATATATATATATAAGAGAGAGAGAAAGAGAGAGGGGAGGAGAATGTGGGACAAAGAGAAAGAGGGGGAGGGAGAGAATGAGAAAGGAAAAAAAAATAGAGAGAGGCAGAGTGAGAGAGACAGAGAGTGTGTGAGTAAGGGTGGGTGGGAAGGAGAAAAAAGAGTGAAAGAGAAAGAAGGGAGAGAGGGGAAGTGATAGATTCATAGAAAAAAAAACCCTCTCTCTTTCTCATCCTCCTTTTCTCTGTCTCCATCTTTCTCCTAACCCCTCACACATTATTTCTCCCTCTCTCTTTTCTTGTATATATATATATAGTTTTGTCTCTCCCCTCTCTCCTCTCTCTCTCACTTGAATCCTCATTCCTCTCTCTGTAAGATCACATAACCACGATTTATGTAATCCATTAGACGTGGGCTCCATATGTTTAACACGTCGGTCTATATCAATTAAGAACCATTACCTCAGTGAGGGTCCAGATGAAAATCATAGCTGAAATCACTGTGCCCAAGTCTCCATCAGCCTACGGCTCCCGGGCTGGCTGGCCGAACACACGACACTGCGCAAGAACGAAGGTTGTAACGCGATTTTTATTGAGTGTTACCCGGGGTTGCGTAAATCGCCTAATAGATCTGCGCTCTGGCGCTAAGGTATTAGATAAGGTAAAACCGAAGTTATTCGTTTGATCAGCAACTTTTGAATTGATGTAACCCAAAGTTACGTCTGTTTATTAATGTAGGACTAGGGTTTAAGCAGGAATAATTATTCGCTTATTAAACACTCCCTTCTCGCCCTCTAGAAATCACTTGCCTGTTTTGGGTAAATCTCAAGCGATCGTGTGATTCGTGATAATTAGATACCCGTAGGGTATGTGACGAACGCTCATCACAGATGCCCAGAGTAGAGCGGGTTATTTAGAGAGTAAGATGGCTACCTCGGCATTTCATTTCAGACCCGGGAAGATTTGCTTGCGAGAAAGCTTGCGAATAAATCTTCACGCCACCGTTCATTACTGCGTAAATTCCGTTGCATATCATTAAATTTTGAATTCAATGCGGAGTTGAAATGTTGTATGTGGTTTTATCAATATCATTGCTAATGTCTCACAGTATTGTTAAAACGAACGTTAATCTTCGTGTCTGTTCGAGCTCTCACTTTCACACTCACTATCGCCCACACACACGCTCAATCATCCATGCAGGCGTAAATATATGATGTATTTCTTTTGCCCGTGATTTTGCCTGTCATGACGAGTGACTAGTACATACATTTCCACTCTGTGTAACGTCAGTTGGTTGCTGGCGGATTGCCGTAGTCGTTTCCTTGTGTGTGTATATATACATATATAGATAGATACATGGATATATACATATATATATATATAATCATATACATATA